CCAAAGCCTCTGGGCGGCGTCTGCAGGCTGCTGGGCGGGCCCCTGGGTGGAGTCTCGAGTGGCCCTCTCACCCACCTCGTTGGCGCGGAGAACCTTCCGCAGCTCCTCGTGGCTCTGCTGTGCTATGAGCACGGTCTCTGCCGACGTGACGCAGCCACTGCAGGCCAGGCAGTCGTTCAGAGACACCTTGGCCTTCTCCAGCTTCTGGCTCCCGCCATCCTGCGGAGGAGTGAGAACCCAGTGCCAGACAGCCCCCAGCTCTCAAGACGGACAGCGTGGTGGTCGGAGGGTCTTATGTGCTGCCCAGCTTTGAAAGAATTAGCTGTTGGGACCAGCAAGTGGCATAATGGTTATGTCGCTGGACTCCCATACGGCTGACTGCAGTTCAAGTCCTGGACCTGGAAGCTTGAAACTCATGCTTGGTGTGTGTGCGTACGTGCCAAGGAAATCCCAAGAGAATGGAGAAGGGATTGTGGCATGGCCATCCCCCCGGTGGGTGATTTCTTGCTTTTTGTCTCTGTCTCTCCATCGAGCACATACATGTACCCTATAGCAAAAACCTCTAAAAGTAAAAAAGAACTACTATGTATCACAGAAGTATGTCCAGGGTCAGCAGGTGGCATGGAGGTGAGGATGCTGGATCCCACGTGGCTAAATGTATGGTTTGAGTCCTGGCCCCAGCGGCTTGAGAATCATGCCCCGGGTGCGTGTGCATGCTCAAAACCCTGAGAGAAGGGACAGTGGCATGGCCATCCCCCACTGGGGGGATTTCTCACTCTCTCTTCTACCCTCTCTGGCAAGCACACACACCCTATAGTAAAAGCTTAGGATATAAATACACACAGGGGGACCCGCAGTTGGCGTAATGGCTATGTCGCTGGACTCCCACGTAGTCGACTGCGGTTCGTGTCCCGGACCCAGTGGCTTAAAACTCACACCAGGCACATGTGCGTGTGTGCCGAAGATCCCAAGAGGAGAATGGAGGAGAAGGGATTGCGGCGTGACCATCCCCCCTGGGGGGTGGTTTCTTACTTTCTGTCTTTCTGTCTCTCTGCCTTTCTGGCGAGTGCACGTGCCCTATAGCAAAAACGTCTCCTATAAAAATGTTAAAAAAATATAAAAATACATATATTATAAAAATTATTTAATTATAAAAATAAACAGGGACAGTGCTCACTGTCGCAAGATCACTAGAGAAGCAGAGACCTGCCTACCCACAGGGTCCTGGGCCAGGGGCTGGCCTCTGGGAAGGCAGAGGTCCACCCGGTTCTCATGGCGATGACGAGACTGTGTGTGGACCCCTCAGAGTCAGGGCCAGGAGGAAAGGGGAGAGGGCATGGAGTAGAGAGGCGCAGGGTGGAGGGCCTGTGGGGCCTGGCCCTGGAGCTGGCCGGCTGCCAGGGGCAGTGACGTCTCAGACCCGGCCACAGGCGCAGGGCCTGGCGCGCCCGCTGAGGTCTGCAGGGCAGCCCTGGGTGACTCTTAGACACAGGACGGTCCTGGCCTAAGCCCTGGCTCCCCTGCAGTGCAGAGGTGGCTGGGCCAGGCTGGCGAGCTGCAGGGGCCCAGGAAACACCCAGAGGGCGAGGAGGTGGGCGCCCTTCCAGCCTGGAACTCCCTTCCACGACGGAGCTCGCCCACTTCTCAGCTGGACCTGCCCCGCACTGGGCCCTGCACTGAGGCCCTCGGCTCCCCGGGTCCAGGCGGGTTCCAGGTGTGCTGCGAGTGTCCTCCTGGACTGAGCAGACAGCAGCCCTTCTCTGCAAGGGTCCGATCCGCTGCTGCTCCCTCACAGAGGCCTGTGTCCCTAGGACCACCCACAGTCCTTCCACTCCACACGGCTCTGGCTGGGCTCCCGGCACTATCTCGGGCCACACCACCCGGGCAGTGGCTCACAGGAGGCGCGGATGTTCTTTGGGGCCTGAGAGACAGACAGGGTGAATTCTGACACCGTCACATCGGGACCTCACGCTCACTTACCCAGAGAGGAAGTGCATGTGCCCTAGGAACGGGAGTCTGAGCCAGAAACCTTACCCGCCAGGCCCGAGATAAGACAGACGAGATAAGACAGACGGAGGGAGGCAGGCAGACAGCCCCGCCCAGGCCGCCCGCCTCCCGCCTCCCGCCGGCGCGGCATCTGACTGCGACGACGAACCCCGGCCGAGGAGCAGCAGCCCCGCCCGCCTTACTTGATGAACCTGGAAGTAGCTCCCGTCGTCCTGGATGTGGATCTTGGCCACGCCGCTCCCGGGCCTCCTGTCTGCCTTCACAGGCTTGATGCAGTCCTGCCCCAGGAAGAGACCTCAGGCCAGGCCCGCCACCTGGACGCTCCCGCTGGGGCTGGGCCTCGGGGAGGCGGCTCTGCCTGGAACGGCCTCGGGCCAGGGGCTGCCCATACCTTGCAGCCACTTAAGCAGGCGTAGGAGCTCATGGGCTCCCCGCGGGCACGGGCTCCTCACACCCTGCGGCCGGGAGCGAGGCCCGGGGAGGGCGGGAGGGCTGTGCCAACCTTCACTGCCCAGGTTCTGATCTTACAGGTGCGCTGCCTGCGCCCGCGGTCAGGAGGCCACTGCAGAGGCCAAGGGAGACGCGGGCTACTGGGAGGCACCGAGGCCCGGCAGGGCCACTGAGCTGCGCCCCGTGCAGCCCACAGCCCCTGAGCTCTCTCCTGCCAAAGCTCCGGGACTGCGTGGGCTCGGCCTCCCTGAGGATGGCCAGCGCCGACGGGAGGAGGCCTACCAGGAGGCCAGGCCAGCTGCGGGCCCTGCCCAGCTGCTCACAGGAGGGCACTCAGCGGAGGGTGACACCGGGTCAGGCTCGAGTGCAGCCCCTGGTCCCCAGGGCGCCTCAAGCAGTGTCTCCGCAGGCGCTGCCGCTCGCCCGGCACCACCCTGCACAAAGGATCAGAGCGGCGAG